AGCGATGCTTTATGGGACAGCGTTCGAGTCGCTTGTGCACCTCGAGCGTCGATCAAAGCTCTGTACAGGCACTGTCCTCTTCCGAAATCCCATAGAAAGTTTACCCCGAGTACAGAAGTTGCGTAGATCGTCACCAACTTCATTCAACGCAGTCGTGTACTCCCTCAGAAAAAAACACTGGACCCGCGAAACCATCGTGTCGTCTGCTAGTAATGCAAAACCGGTTGTTGCGGGCTTTTGTCATCGCTTTAATGTACCAGAAAAAATCCTCGCGATTAGATATTAAGAAGACACAATGCTTACAAAAATTATTTACTTTTTATTAGACAATTTCGTACCTTACCTTGAGCCCCCGTGCATTTGTCCGTAACAACGGCCCTAGCAACGGTTCTATTTAGATTTTTTTTTTTTTTTTTTTTTAGTATTTACTGCGGACCTCAAGGTCTAAGCAGGGAGGGGGCGGAAGAATAAATCCCGCTACACAATAAAAAAAAAACTGCTGCATAGAAACAGACACATGCAAACTATGCAGATATCAATACCTACTACATCACATACCATTCACATAGTAATAACAATAACACACGTTGTTGCTGTTGTTGTTGTTTGCGAATAATATGGAAGTTATATAAATAAGAGGGCTACTTTCAAATTACAAAGCTGCGAGGCTCACTCGGATAGGAACGATTCTAATGATGATCCGAAATCAGGGAAGAAAACAACTCCAGGGGCAATGAATTCCAATCGGTCATTGTTCATGGGAAGTATGAAAACTTAAATATATTAGTAAGCGCGAAATAGGGTTTTAAGGAGTAGCGGTGGTTGGTGCCTTGTCGATCTGGCTGAAATCTGACTAGCGTATAAACAAGGATAAAGATAAACCTTAGAATCGACAAGCTACCGAAGGAAATTTAAACGGTCAATTTTACGCCCGAGCTTGAGAGTGGGTATTTGTCTGCATTAGCAGTGATGGGGAATCTGTGCGTTTGAATTTACCATGATTGAAACGAACCGCGCGCCTACTTTCTCTAAGACGTCAGAATGTTTTTGTAAATATATCCCAGACTACGAAACAGTATTCGAGCTTAGGTCGAATGAGGGAAGTAACGTTTTAACGTTTAAGGGCGTTTGCGGGAGGCCGGAGGGGGGGGGGGGGCCTTTTCAAGTTTATGTCCTACAAGACGAGCTTTCGAAAGGCTGCCGAGGAAACGGTATTTATATGGTCGGACCAACTCAAGGTGTTATATATAGTAACATCAAGGCATTTAAACTGATTTACTTCAGAAATTATAAAGTCATTAATTGAATAGAAAAACAGTTGCGGGTTTCTCTTGTTTGCAATGAAAAACTTGGTCGCACCAGTCCTGTATAGCACCTAGACATGAGCTGAGCAAGCATTGATGAGATGATGAAGTTATACTTTTAAATAACACGCAATCGTCCGCAAATAACCTTATTCTCACAGGCAGATCTACAGCATCAATAGTATCATTTAGCGGCCCCAAGACGCATCCCTGTGGCACTCCTGGGGCCCTAATCTGGACACTTGGCGGAAAAGTCGGCGAGAAATGCGGCGACTCTGATTGGCCGGCGCCAAGGTCAAGTGTGGCGTTGGCCAATCGCGGCCGCCACATTTCTCGCCGTCGTCTTCGCCAACGTCCAGCTTAGGGCCTCTGGTGTGACATTCAACGTCTCCGAACAACAACCGCCCGCCTCGACGAACTAATGAACGAACCCAGTTGACGATTGCTGAAGGAAGTCCTATTTTTGTATGCAGTTTTGAGATTCATTTTTCATGAGGAACCCTGTCAAATGCTTTACTGAAGTCCAGGAAGATAACATCCACCTGTCCAGCCTTATACAGTACCTGTGCAAACTCATGAATGGTAGTTAGTAACTGTTTGGCAATCCAAAGACCTTTTTTTTCTTCTTTTTTTTTATATGTGTCGAGCCCCCTGAATTTCTCCGTAAGCTCCGTAACAACGATCCTAGCAACGGTCTGTTTGGAGCAGAGCGCCATGTTGCGACTAGGGATGCCGCGAACTTTTTTCGAATCGAAAGTTCGATGATCGAATCAAGCGGTTCGAAAGGTTCGAAAGATTTCGAATTTTCGAACTTTCCATATCAAGAAATTCGACGGAAGTCGAATTTTCGAACTTGCTAAAGTAAAAAGTTCGACCGAAATTTCGAACTTATTACGCTGCAAGATTCGATGCTTGTCGAATTTTCGAACTTGATAGACTAAAAAATTTGATGATTTTCGAACTTTCGATTTTCTTGCACTAAAAAGTTCGAAGCTTTTCGAACTTTCGACCTTCCTACGCTAAGAAATTCGATAATTTTCGAACTGTCGAACTTATTAATCTAAAGAATTCGAAAATTGTCGAACTTCCGATTCCTAAAAAGTCAAAAGTTCGACGAACTTCGACGTTTTAGGGTAAAAGTTCGAAGTCCGTCGAACTTCGAAAGACGGGCGGGCGGTTTCATTTGGATTCAAGCTGTGAAGTACATTCGTAATTTTTTTTCTCGCACTTTTAAATGTGGCACCGCATTACTTGCGAAAGACAATGCCGTTTATTTCAATCGTCTGGCATGCTTGGTTTTAAAGAAATAGATTCCCGAAGGAGCGAGGAAGGACAACGGGTTTTTGACAATTGTCGTTTGTGCCATATTTGAAGCGCGCTATAGCCGAAGATATTTATGGTAGAGATGTTAAACTTTTTAAGAATGATCTATGTATAGCCTAGGTAAGTGTAGTCTTAAGATATGATTACTATTCTTCAAGACGAGTTTCGAAGAAATATCCAAACATGTATCTATGGGCAATTATGCCCTAAACTTGGTAATTTTTTTCGTCTTAATTGTTTGAGGTATCACATTTAAATTAACACCACGGACAGTACATATCATTAACATCTGCAGAATACAAATTAATGTATATATTGTTATTTTCATGTTGAGGAATAAATTAACCCAGGGAAAAAGATTTCTAATATTGTTCAAACTTGGCACGTCGTAAAAAAGTAATATATATGTATATATATATTTATTTTTTCATTTCACGTTTTTGGGACATGTTTCTTTTAGCCTGTACACATTTTGGTAAAAGAAACTTCTTTCGTAGTTCTGGGCCTGTGAATATGCGAGAATACAACACTTCCGGTGGATTCTTGAGTTTTTTTTTTTTTGTTTTTTTTTTCCAGCTTTTTATTTTTTGCTATTATTGTTATGTTTATTTATTTATTAGTTTTTACCTTTGGCACAGTCATTTAGGTAGAAAAGACATAGCTTTGAACTTCCGAACCACCGAGCATGGGACGAGTAGCGCCTTCTGACAACGCGTTTCTAACAATGACCATCTACGCGACCTTTTATGCAGTGAAGAGCGACAGTAGGTGTACATATGCATAAATAATTTCAGATTAAAATAAGCTCGACCATGCCCTCTTTCGGGGGGG